TCAAATGCTGTGATACCACACCGCACAGTAGAAAAGTAAATTAAGCGTAATCCTGCTGTCGTGTAAGGTCTCAATAAATCAGGTTTTCCTCAGTTCAATATATCCTTCGATGAGGATAAACTTCTTCCTATTCTGATTCTATTTGTCTCTCCAGATCCACAGATAGTGGCGTGCATAATATGCGACCTTATAAATACTTGACCTACGTACATCTCTGGTTGTGCCTTGTAGTGCGGATTCGGGTTTTCGGCATGTCTTCTTTGTAAGTAATGTGGTAAGTAGTATAGTACGTTCGTCAGCCTAAATCACAATGGATATCGATGAATCACTTTTGGCAAGGGTTAGCCATCAAAGTGGAGTGCAAACAATCCCTCTAGACGCAATCCAACTTGCAGATTTTTCTCGTTATCGAAAAGCTTTGTGTTACTAAGCCAAGATTTTTGGCTGATTCAAGCGGACTGGCTGAAGAACTATGGATAGTAACAAGTTTCAGGTAGCCGCACAATTTTGCCTTGTTTGTACCGCCTGGAAGCTTGGTGAAGAAAAATATTAGAAATTGGAAACCTTGACGACACACACTACCTCCACTTCACGGAATTCAGAGTTCAGGAAAGTGTGTTTTGGACGTGATATGCAGAATCTAATTCATAAAAAACACGAAAAATGTAACCTTTTTGAATTTTCGGCGATAGTTGAATCAAGAGTAATCCTCCCGCCTGCATTACTGCTCTGAGTGAAAATTAAGTTCCAAAACTAGTGACGGATATTAAAAGCACGTAGAAGCATACAATCATTAAGATGATCTGTGCAAATAATTATCGAATATTTTGAAATTTTAAAAACCAGCAAGTAATTGGCGAAAAGCTTGCTTGCTAAAAACCATCCAGCAGACACACAACCTGGCGTTTGTGTCACACTTACCTTTGGTTAACTCATTGGTCATTTGCAAATTAGAAGAGCGCTAGGTGGGACTTAGATAGGACTCATGCTATTCTACCGTTTATTGTATACTTCTGCGGGAATTGTTAAACAAAATCCATTTAGTTTGTGTGACTAAAAATCAAGCCGTTGATATGTATTTCTATGAAATTTATATAAAAATTATAAAGTTGAAGCCTTTCTGTCGAGCTAGCAAAAAGAATTATTCAAAATGGAATAACTCAAGGGACACTGCGGGCTATTATTTTTGATCATATAGACCACTGTGCTGAGCATTTACGATTATTGGCAAACTATCTTTATCAGTAGGTTTCTAATCTCACAAGCTCTGAGTAACATATCCAAAATGAATATTTAAACCATAATTTTGTGATGGAGCTGTGTAATTTTACTTGGCAGGCAGCAGATAGTTCCTATACCTTGATTCATGTGGCACCCGTAGACAGATAGATTCGTAACCAATGAGGGGTGGGAGCCAGAGCGGTTGACAATACGTTGCCGAACTTTGTAGACTGCACTGCATTCCGCATTCACACTACTCGTAAACTGAAGTCGCGCAAATCGCGGATTCGGTCTGTCTTTTTACGCCATGAAGGGGAGAGATATTTCTCCTCAGAAGACTCGGCGGATATTTGAGTTGACATTTTGAGGCTTCAGACGGAAATGGAGTTTGCTTTACTTTTCGGTAGTTTTCAAAGATGTTTTGTTTGGTGATATCGATAAAACTACTGAAAGTTCAGGTTACTCAGGATCTTTCTGCGAGGTCATCTTGAACTCTCGTCAGTGTTCCGTTTAATAGAAGTATCTGTCACCCGGGTTACGCTGGTTCTTCACCCAAGAAGAAATTGCTCAAAGAGTTTGGCAACAATGGTTTAGGTAATGTACGCTGAAAGATTGAGCAGTAGGTATGATGTATTCCACCCAGGTGTACACTATGCATCTTACTGAAGGCATTCGTTACCGAATGGTTAAATGAGAGTTGGGAATTCGTGGGAAGTTAGTATGTAGCGCTTTCCGGAAACCTGACTACTTATGCCTTACCTACAGGAAGGTTTATCCACGCGGAGTTCGAGCAGCCACCAAAAACGTTTGATAGTCGTCTGATAGCCCTCTAGTTCCATTCTATCTAAAAGTTAAATATAAGCAAATCATGTTAACCAGTTCCGAGAGAAATTGCTCATCAGTTGGATTGATTTGCTTCAATAATACTGTCACAAGCTTGGACGTCCTTTGATCTTTTATCAAGCTTCAACAGTAGCCTCAATGCGAGCTTTCTCACCTGACTGTTAATATAATGTTTACAATGAATTTACTGCACATTCCAAACTTTCTAATGTATTTGACTAGCAAATTTTTTGTTTGTTTAACAACACATGTCTTCCTCGACAAGATGAACACGCTTCTTACGGAAAAGTTAAAAAACAAGCCTTGGGTGCACATATTTTTCTAATACATGGCCCATGACTAAATATTGTCTTGATCGTTGTTGTATTTGGCTGTTAATCATCACCAACATCATCATCATGTCGCAGACCCTCCTCCCCAATGTCTGCTCCCGAAACTCTCACGCCTCCCCTCGGAAGCACAGACGGGTTAGTACCTTTTTGGCGAACAAGCAGCGTTGTAATTAATTTGCAAAAGATCTACTGGCATTTATGTCATGTACATGAAAAGTGGGCGGTGTGATATTTATGTGAACAGCAAACACTGGATTAGATACATGTCAATTTTTTTTATGGCTTACCGATGTAGGTTGATATTTCGCCTGATTATGAAGCGGATGTGTTATTCCAAACACAGCGACCCGGTTGTAGAAGGTTTAAGAGGCACCGTCTAAGGAGAGGACAAATAAGTGCTGTAGTCAGGAGAAGCGAAGTATAACCGCCTCGTCCTGACTAAGAGAACTCATCAGTGCATACTTACGGATCTCACGGGAAAAACAACCTACAGGAAAGATGTTGGACAATTCATGCTGGGGTAAACTGATACAACATCAGGCTCAAAGTGTGACCAACTCTGTTTCTCGTCCGCGTGCAAATTGACAAAACTATTCTACCTTTTTGACAAATACACTCACTTTCAAATAAAATTAATTTCTATGGGAGACTCGAACCAACGGAAACATGAGGCGGCTTGTGTGCAGCACATTTAGTTGAAGAACATCATAGACGATAGATTCACTTGAGTCTACCATGAAAACCAAAATGATTTGCAGATGAGTGTATTTTCCAAAATTAGTTAAATTAGGGTTCAAGTAGATCATATGGCTGACGGAAACTCGAGGACTACGCCTGCCTGGTAAGACTCAAGAAAAACAAAACCGGTTGTGGGCTGTCAAAGAGTCTTCAGCAACCTTGTGAGTAGCTCCTTTTACGAAATTTTCTACATACCCTTGAGTGAAATTGATGTGATCCGCACTGCTTGTGATTCAGAATGGGAATGGAGCATGAGAGAGTGAGAGTACTGCCACACTGTGGTTGAAGTAGTTCAAAATGAAACACGGGAAGAATTCACCGAAAGCGCACTTATCTGTCTCACTGTCGACCTTTCGCCGTGTCTTTATCTAAAAACGTTCATTTGCGCTGGTCATGCTATTCGAGTATGGTTCCTTTTTCACTCGTCCCTTACCAGCTCCACAAACCAATTCTGCGCATTATACGCACAGTCGTTCTGTTGCGACTTCACCACTACGGTCGGAGTCTTTATCAATTCGAGTGGAATATTTCACATGGAACAAACTCACCACTGCGTGGTGGTCTCTCAAACATCTTACTCCTACTTCCAAATATCTACCTAATCCCTGAGGATGTCGGGTTTATAGTCTCTATGGTGAACACTTGCTGTTCATGGTGTGGTCGGGACCCCTTCCTTGTGGCAAATATCCCCTTTTTAAAACACACATTGTTCCCACAAATCCTTCTACGTACACCCGAGTGCTAAGTTCTACCGATGAGACGCTTCTCCTTCTAAGCATTACAATTCATGTTGGTCCGTGCACACATCTTTCTGGCACGTTCCCACAAGACCAGCTACCGTCAAATTCTGCCAACTGTCTAAAATCGCTACCAAGGATGATGAAAGTTGAAGCAGGACAATAGGCGCATGCTCAAAAAAACGAATTAGATACCGCGTAAATAATATCGTGTTGTTAGCCTTCATGATCCTATCCAAACCTACTCACAGTTTTCAGTAACCTCACTTGGTGTCCTGTACGTTGGAGAGTTACTTCAAATTAGTACACCTTGCCTTGATTCCCAACTTCACATATCTCTTCAACACTACAAAGGCGCCACTTAGAATAGTTTACATTTGGTACAGATCCTCGCCCTTTAAATTCTAACTCACTTCTGAGAATGTTCGAGGTTTACAGTTCAGATTTCGTCTTAAGACTTATTTAGTTAAATATTCATCAAAGCCGTACCTTATGGAACATCGGCATATTATCTGTAGTCCGCCACCTGTTTTCGCCCAGGTATCGTATTTACAATCTCCCGTTCTAACACGCGTCTTCCTACACTAATTTTTCAAGAGGTTCAAAAGATGAGAAATAAATTTTTCCGTTCACTTCTTTCAATTTTTCGTCACATGTCGACTCTAGCTTGGGGGATAAGGTCAACGAGAAATGATTATTTAGCCAGCTCCAATGGAGTTAGCCTTTCACCATTTTACAAGCAATACCGAACTTTGCATTTTAAGCTGTGCTTAGGTCCTTCTATCCTTCGAGGAAGCGAAATGTTAATAAAACTGTCTCTGTGACAAATGATCTACTGATGAAGCTACTGAAAACTTTGCGACAACTCACAACGGCAGGTTTTGCTAATCAGGTGGGGTCAATCCAGGAGTTCCCTGAGCTTCTTCTACTATGTAGTGGGCGGACTGCACTCATCAAATTTGCATTTAACGACAGACTAAGCTGGAATGGCTTCCAGCCTCAGGCTAAAACCAGATTTCGAGAAATACACTCATTTGCAAATCAATTTGGTTTTCACGAGAGACTCAACGGAATCTCTCGCATATCATATTCTACAACTGAATGTGCTGCATACAGGCCGCCTCATGATTCAATTAGCACGATATTCGAGATATCGCAATATATTTTCAGCAAACTTGTAAGTAGTTTCTTTTATGAAAATACACTGAGATATCTCGAATATTGTGCCAAATGAATCATGAGGCGGCCTGTGTGCAGCACATTCAGTTGTAGAATATGATATGCGAGAGATTCCGTTGAGTCTCTCGTGAAAACCAAATTGATTTGCAAATGAGTGTATTTCTCGAAATCTGGTTTTAGCCTGAGGCTGGAAGCCATTCCAGCTTAGTCTGTCGTTAAATGCAAATTTGATGAGTGCAGTCCGCCCACTACATAGTAGAAGAAGCTCAGGGAACTCCTGGATTGACCCCACCTGAGAACCAGATTTGTTTGAGAACAGCTGTATTCCGTGATTCAAGTTCAGATAGAGCATGAGGTTGACGTAAATTCGGAAGCTGGTTGATGGTTGATGAGCACCAAGAAACGCGAAACTATTCATGAGCTGTTGGGCAATTTTTAGCGCCCTCATTAGACCCCGCAAAATTAAATATGCTTGCAGAGGAGTGTATTTTGCTAAGCTTCATCAATTTACTAATCACTTTAAAGCTGCTATGAGCAGGATCTAGTAAACTCTTGGTTACTTGCCCGAAAATTTCAAAACGCGAGTTAAACCAAATGAAAGTAAAGTATAGTAAAATGAACATAAAGCAAACCAAGTAAAACATTTCTCGGGTACCAAGCTACACAAAAGGCATTATTAGTCACCTCTGGAAGATGACAATTTTGTGTGTACTTCAACCAACTCACAAGTACACTTTTTTTTTAAATTTCAGTACACCTTCTGGGTTCCGTCTTTGGGTCGCTATTTCACACCCCTCCGTCTAAGATGCATTTACAACCTGTCATTGTGTCACACAGTTTCATTGAGTTTGTCTAATACTACCCCATCAACAAACCGAGCCAAATGAATCCTTTGGATTGCAGCTATTCTCATCAAAGGACATTATACTTGTTCACATGCGGTTATAAACATGGTCTGTTGCTGGCTTCACTAAATGATGTACGGATATCACAGCCAACGTTGTAAGGCGAACCACTTTCTGCGCAAGTCCGCTTCTCATATGTAAAGCATTCTACCTTCAAACAGTTGATAATACTTGAAAAGTAGTTGTTTAGCGGGCGGCTTATGAGTTCAGCTTTGGTTGGTCACGCAGACATCTGATGGGATCATCCAACTTTGGGCTGGAAACCGATGACTGCCTGCTAGAAATTGCCACAACTTTCGGTTTTCATTAGTACAGGGCTACATCTCGGACACTGCGCATTCAATTATAAAGCGATTTTCAAACGTGGCAACCAAGTTTACTTCACAAAATAGAGAGACATACCGGTAGTGAAAAACGCTTAACCATTCGTGGGTTACGGTTGAAACATGCATTATTCTCACGTTAGATACTTCAGCACGCCTTGTGTTCTAAACAGTTCAATTAAACCATTCTAATAATAGCAAAAGTACTTCTCACTACCACTCTTTACAGCTTGCAAGCAGGCAGGTGGAACCTGTCAGCTTAGCGTATCTGCTACCATGCTTGTGAATGGCCACCTAGGGAGACGAAATTTCCCAATCAAGCCCATATCGTGCTCGGTCCTATTGAATTCTCACCTATTAGAACTGCGTGGGCAACCGTGTATTCCAGCTAGTGACGCACGGTCTACCTGCAGGGGAAATTAATTAAAGCTCATGTATTTAGCTCAAAATGAAAGACAGATAACCGGATTACTATTTTAGTTTTCATTCAGCACGTGCGGACGGATATGGGGAAGACAAAGCAACATCTAACTGTCTACTGTGGACCAGTCAACAAATCAGGTCATGCGGCGAACGAAGTGATTTTAACGAAAACTTTTAGGAATTGAAATATCGCATGAATGTAAAACGATGAAGTCAAATCGATATCTGAGGGGATGGATTTAGTGGGAGTTCCGAAGTTTCGCATCTTATGAGTGAGGAACGCATTTCACGGTGATTTAACTATAATTCTCCGACATTTGTAATCTCGAGGAATGTTACACGGGGTACTTGAACACTGAGGAGAATGGAAAATGAAACAAAGCTTCTGGCTTGTCATTTACTACCATCTAAAGCACAAACCTGTCAGAACATACTAACAGATGGGTGCTTATCAAATGGCATTTAGCTAGTTTGAACCTTCAGTTTTCCAAGATGAAACGAATTTCTTAGCAGAACACATTTCAGTAGAATATCACTGAAATAATTAGAGTTAAGACAGACATTTAGTTTCAGTCCAAAAGTCTCAACCTTCTTACTTCACCCGAATAATTTAAACTAAATCGTTATTTATTTCCGTACGCCTTAGTAATCAAATGCAGGCGCTGAAAATTGGTTATTTTCTGAAATAACAGCAAACAAATTTTCAAGGCGCCACTCTGTCATTCACTTTTCTCTCAGTAGCAATCATCTCAGGGCAACCGTTTTATAAAAAATCGATGGGATTTTTCCGGGAAATTTTGGTTTGCACGGTTGCTTCTAAGCTTTAACTTGAAATGGCAAAATACGGCTGGTAACCTATTTGATTTGATTCAAATCCCCTGTGTGTACATTGTTGGCAGCTGTGTTTTGGTTAGTAGGGTCTCATTGAATTCCTGCTACCGACAAACGGAATACCAGATGTCGCTTTGAGTTCAACCATACTGCAAGCTGTGACAATGTGTTTCATTGCTAACGTCGCAGGATCCTTGGCTTCTGCATGGGGTTACGGTCTTGCTGCATCACTGGTTTACTTGGCCACTGTGCTTGGTGTCTTTTTGGACGAGTCGTTCTGCTTACATGGGTTTCATTGCAACTGCAAATGAACTACTAAAGTATCAGACGGAGAGTTTGGACAAACGCGGTCTGTGATATTTGATAGCAATGCTACCAGTTAGTGGCAGTGAGTGCATGTGAGCTGAGAGGTAAGGCTACCCCGATGCTGAGCAGAATTTACCAGACAAATTGCTAATAACGAGGTCACCGCTGTAAATATACACCTATTTCGGAAGTTTAAAATACTTCGCTAGCTTTGGAGTTTAGATTGCAGGGTACCATGACACATGTTCCAGGATAGGATCTTATGTCTTGTTTGGGAAATCCATATTTCGAAACCGAGACCACGAGTCTTGCGATGGAATTGGCAATGGCGATGGTTGCAACGAAGTAGTTGGTCCCTAACGCGTGTTTGATGTTGTGTTTATGAAGGAACAGTTTTGGTCATCCTTCAAGGTAGAACATCCGATATTGTGTGCAGAGATTTAATCTCAACTAGTTCACTTGCTATCCTTCAGTAGTAACACTTCCTGTGCCTAGCTGCCATGCCATATGAAGGAGGCACGGGGCTGCGATACAGCCAAGTTGGCCAAGCCTAGACGGAGGCGATCGAGATGCAGAGGTCAGATTCGAGCCACGAACCTTTCCATCGCTAAGTATGCACTTTATTCACTGATTCACTTCGAGGCCAATTTACCTATTACGCCCGCAAGTATGCAACACGATTTGGGCACGTGACAATGCGATTGTACGCATGTTTGTCTGTGAAATGTATGCAACTGACAAAACTAACATATGTTTATATCCCCCTTTTCCTTATCCGGATAGACTGTAACAAAAAGATCCAGGGTTATCTGTAACTCGGAAACAGAACACAGAAAATAAGTATGTCTGATGTATATATTCTAAAAAGTCACGACTTAAAAGACTTAAGAACTATGAGCTGTGCAGAACATCTTGCTACGGTTGTTCTGCTTTTGATAAAACCGAACGTCAGTAGGTGGAATCAGTAGTTTGAAATTTTTGTATATTTATAAGAGGTTCCCACTTCAAAGGGAATTAAGACATAGTTGACACAATCCTGCCTAACCTACCCGGTTCAACTGACAGCCAAGAAATTAACAGAGTTGGGAGCATCAACAATTTATTGCGATGCACAGTTTTAAACTCATTCTAGTCACATTGTTATCACACGTAACCTTGCTACTTACATGAGCACTGTTCCCAAACCGATCTAGTAAAAGCCACTTTATTAAGGCTTGCTCTAAACTAGCGTTTCTGTTTTCTTTCTACTAACGCACTGATTCTTACAGCTGATTCGCCGACTAAGCTTTGAACTGTGAAGTTTTTTTTACTTCAAGTTCACAGGAATCACTGTGATAGCCCCAGGATCCAGAAGACTTCACTGAGCACACACTTGATATAACTATAGGTAGTACGTACTGCAGTACAGTTATGGATATACCTACGAAGTGCCGAGCTTTCATGCGGCACAATCACAGTGGCTATGTCGTCTCAGTAAGAGTAACCTAGACACAATCGATCAGTCGTTTAATAGATTGCGAAAAACTTGTCGCAGTCAACCACAAGTCTCAAGCCCTAAGAACCATCAGCCGATTCTCGTTCACATTGCTGCTGTGCACACTCCCTAAGTATATCACAAAATGGTCAAACCAAACGCATATAAACCAACTGTTGTAGCAATTTTAATGCCATCAATCCAGAAGTGACCAGCGGGTCTAACGAAAACGCTGCCAGTAGCTTCTTTAATTTCGCGTTTTATTGGTAGTGAACTGCATTCCAAACCTCATAAAACATTCTGACCAATGAATCTGTCAATTTTTATAACCAGAGTTATTCCGAATGTGCACCATGACCGCCCCTCCCCCTCCGACAGCACTGAACTCTCATTAAATGTGTTTGTGTGCACCTAAGCTATCCAAAAGCCGTGATTATGGACGCATATTTCGCAATCAGATGCCTCATCTGAGTGGCACTGAGATTGGGGATTGGCCTAGGGCTTGCCAGGTAGAAAATGTACATAGTGGGGTATTCAGATAGACTTGATCATGTTTTATTTCGTGTTATTAGTACGCAGTTTATTTATTTGCTTCCGTCAATAAAACTGAAAGGCGTTTATCGTTTACCGTTATTGTACGGGAGGTCAGGAGACAGTAGTTTTTTGCCATCGGTAGGTCACCCGTGTCTCAGTACAGATGTGTCATTCACGGTAGCCGCGATGTGGGCCCCCAGAAAATGAAAATTGTCCGAAATACCATTCATGCTGATTCTCTAGCAAAGGTGTAAACTACTTGCTTAAGTCGTTCTGGATGTAATAGCGTTTCACATACACACCACTTTGACCGACGAATGAGAAACTCAGGGAGCTTTCTTTTTTGCCTAGGCTGAGTTGAGTTTGAGTCACCTACAACTGGAGAATAGTCACCTTACGAAAGTACTTCCTACACAGCCATGCGTAGAAAGCATTTTTGAAAGCAGTTAGGGTAGTCTTGTCTGTTGACCGGCCATGTAGCTGAGTGAGGCAATGTCTGTGCAAATATGTCTATACAACGCATCTCCGGGTGTCCTGAAATCGATGTAGCGGCTTTAACTTTAAAGAAGTGATGTTCGCACCCTTGACTACCATGACGTCGCATTTCGAAATGACAAAATTGATCTCAGGAATATTTTTGAATGACTTCGAGGAAGCTTAGTATGATTTCGCGACATCTTTAATTGAGAAATTTATGGGACACTGCACCGGTATATAGGTACCCGTGTGTTGGACTTGTGTAAATGCTGTCTGAGAGGTTGGGACATAAACGTAAACCCAAAAATAACCATTCTTTCTTCATAGCTCTTTATATTGAGTAACTATGCTATCTAGTTCTGTTTGAATTCACAAAACGACGGTTACGGACAGTGCTATGAAGAATGATGTCGTCAGCTAGGTACACTTGTGGATAATTACAAGGTTAAGGGTTTCCAGTTGCTTGGAAACATCAAAACCGAGAGATTCAGCTAGGTTCCAGATGAGTCTCTTGAAAAATTAAATTAGTTTGCAAATAAGTGTATATTCGCTAAGGTTAAGGAATGTTGAATGTGGTTCTAATAGTTAAAATTCACAAGTAAGCCGTATCCAACTGAACCATTTATTTTCTGTCTGATTCGGCTCGTTGGGTGGGCATGGTAAGGTGAGCACTTTTATTTGCCTTTTTTGATGACAAACTGACATGACTGCAGTCATATCCACTGTCCCCTTGTAAATGATCTTTTAACAACCAAGAGATACTGTTTTCAAAGGGGTAAAAGCGAAATGTCAATATCCTCCAGTCTTTATACTCTTATTGTATCGTTCAGATTGGAAGATCCTGGATAAACTGCACCGAACGATTCGACTGAGCTGATTTGATGCGCTTTATCGATCAGGTGGCTTTCAGTTATGCTGGTCACGTGTTCATCCTCTCGAGCATCAGTGTAGAACAGTAAATACTCAGTTACTCGCAGAAATAGACAATGAGTCGTCCAACCCACACTGTTTGCTGAACATTAGAAAACAAGCGAATAAACTGAAGTTTTGGGATTTTGGACCGACCATCTATTTGTCTAAGCAGGTGGCCACCAGCAAATCATATCTGTGCTTGCTCTGTGGTGACTATTACTCGGACGGAAGCTATTAAGCGATGTGTGTTTTCTCGCTGCATTTACACGAGAGGTGTAGAGAGGCATCCTGGCGAATGAAATGTTGTTGCTGAATTCGACCTCATCACGGTTTCCTAGATTTTTGTGTACAAAGTTCTACGGTACTCTTCCTTAATCTGGGTTCTTGTGATTGACCTTATTTTGTACCAAAAATGTCGTGAGCGCTGATCGTGTGAGCCCTGTTCAGCAAAAACCAGATATGTTTACAAATGAGTGTATTTCGCTAATTTCATGCAATTCAAGTTCAAGTGGAACATAATGTTGACGGATACTCGGGGACTGCGCCCATATGATAAGCCCTAGGAAGGGTGAAACTGATCGTGGGCTACGGAAGAATTTCCAGCAAAATTATGAGTAGTATATTATGTCTATACAAGGTTTTAGTTGGCCTTCTGTATTTACATTAATCAGTAATACTCTACGGAATGATTCCCGCTGTGAGAAGCCCTTGCTTAGGCACACCCAAATAATATGCGGTCGGAATTTCAGGATGGAAACAACAACAGCTACCTCTATAATGGCCTCGGCTAGTCGTTTCACGCAGTGCGACGGTGCCAGGTATGTACCGATCAGGCCTCTTCACAGCACCACTCACCGGCGCGCTTGCGAGTGGCCTTTGTGGCGAACAGCTTACTCGGGGCCTTGCAACCGGTGGACTTCCGGGCATTCTGCTTAGTACGCGATCCATCTGGAGATTTTCACACCGAAGCGAAAGCGTTTTTTCCCGAGATCCGTCATGCCTGTTCATTCTAGTGTGTACTGGAATATGACTGGTCCTGTCGGAGATGGCGTGGGCACGAAGCCAAACAGAAAAAAGTTAGCCACTCTGTGTTTATGACATTTGACAGGGCTAATTTCTATCCTACAGAATAGGTAAACAATATCACGATTTGCTGCGCTGCAGACCAGTTGTAAACTGGTATGCAGTTTTCTATCAGTGCACTATGGCTTACAGACTCTGTTCAAAAACATAAAGACGATAAAAGAAACGCTCGTCCTTTTGGCAAAACGGTTCGCTGCATACTGGCGGCAGTGCGCAGGTAATTTAACTTTCATCAGGAATGCAAACGTCTCATGGATAGTATGGTTAATTTTGCGTCAAAATCTGAACCTACCAGTAGATTTTTAAGGCTATGAAAATAGGTCTGCATGACAGCGATCGTATGCAACGCGAGGGCACAACGCATTATTAGCTCAAGATAACCAAGTAAACAGCCCAGCGTGTGCCCCAGGAATTACTAAATTATTAGTACAATTCTTTTAATTGCGACTTACGTTAAACAATGACCGCTGAGGTCGCCTTTCTCGTTGGTTCGTCTGCTAGGCTATTTGGTTCTACCGTCAGCGTGTTTGCGTGTAGAAAAGTGTTCCATCAGTGAGGCACCAGTAAATTCTTCTACAGCAGGTATCCAGAATTTCGCTTCCTGAAACTATTTCCTTGACTGTTCAAGACTCCTCAAACCGTAATGGTCCATACTATCAAAGCTGGACACCGGATTGTAAACGAGTGGCTTCTTCTAGGCCTTCCAGCTTCTTTGAGTACTACAAGAGGATGTTACCTTATACTACCTCCATAGAAAACGTGACAGTTTTCGACGAATGAAAAGTTACTCGGACTTTTTGTTTTTGTCATGTGACTTGTAAGAACCACGACAAGACGTACTTGTCACCGTAATGTCAAGCTAGAAAAACCTCCTGCTTAATACGCACTGGCGAACGTAACAGTACAACTTTTGCACCGATCTCCCACCCCTTCGGTTCGCACCTGTCACAGCGCGCAAAGATCACATCACGCTATCCGTTATTGGTGTCAGTATTTTGGTTGTCAGGCGGTCAACATTTCGGTGTTCTGTGTAAACACAGATGAAGGATCTCAAATGGTGTCGGTGTATAATCCCTGTCGCTCAGAATATAAACAAATAACTGCAAAGTGGATCTCTGCAAGTCAACATAAAGTACAAATTTTACGAATGTTCTGATCTGAAGATGGTGTTTTCACTTCAGAGTCTTATAGGAATGATTCTATTGCTAGGTTGAAATTCAAGCTGAAGAGTGGATAAATTTAGGTAGAGAATTTGAACTGTGCGTCTTCGATTTATGGTACAAGAAATTTTTACAAGAAACATACCAAGTTATTCAACGACCTGATGATGAAAGATACGCTTGCTACTGACGTAATGATTCACATCAAAATCTTCGAAAGTTTCAACGGATTCAATGGACAGTGTGCACTTGTCCGGACATTCTTTCAGCTCAGCCTAATTCAACTGAGTTAAGCTTCCTCAGTGTCCAGAGGCTGGCTATTTGAGTGGAGTTCAACCAGATTCTGTTAACCTACTTATGACAGCCACGAGTTTATAAACTATGGTAACGTTTGCATGTTCACTAAAATTCCACGGTTGCGGATCGAGTAAAACATTAGGCCTGGTGTAAATGGTACTTTGAGCAGGCCTCGCTTTTATCTGCTACCTTAATATGCCAAGCGATTTAGAAAAAAGGAGTTCCATTGATTCTACAGTGATACCGACCTTAGTACTTGATATCCTCAACGTACTTTTATGCTCAAACACTACATCAACCAGGTATCGTGTGTGAAAAAATGCTGTGTTGTATTGATAACTGCTTCTTGACTATAATAGTTAACTTTTAATTTAAAGTCCAATGGCTTGAGATGAAGTTCACTGCACGCCCTCCAATGACCTGCCAGTGTAGGCGCCGTTTGCGAGCCCCTAAGATCCATGAGCCAAGGATATTACTCAAACTGACTCCGAGAAGGCACACGCTGTTTCAAGTCTGGTTTGGTGGATGGTTGTCCTACGACAACACTTTTGTCTAGTGCCCGGAATTCAACAAGCCAATAAGAAGTTACGACAGGTAACTAATGTGGTCTTTATGGAACCCGATCAAGATCACAACCGACAATACAGACAAAAGTCTAACGTAAACACCTCCGAGCCGTTTGGAGGAACGTTTGTAACATGAAATCTGTAGAATAAAAATGCACAGAAGATCAGCTGATTTTCACTACAAACGAACGAAGGATGTAGAAGCGTAAACGTTGCAAATGAACGGTTCTGCAATAGTAGTTAAGCCACTTTTAACTTTTAACACTTTTTGACACAAATTGCGCCCCCCCCCCCCCCTCAGAAACTCAACCAGTGGATAGCGAATGTTGCGGCTCATATCGGGAACGATTTAACGTTATAATAATTAAGGGATTCCTTGAGATTCTCCTACACTTTTGCGAATTCGTCATCTACTTCCTGAACGATATGCCTGAAGCTGACTTTTTGATTGTGGACTGCGTGGAACTAACCCTGAGATTATTTCACTTCAAACAGCATATCCATGAGTATTTTCATTGTCTCACTCAAAGCTATTATTTTGTTTTTTATTCACGTTTTCAGCTGAAAAACTGTTCGATGGCGGGTGATGGCGTCAATATTTTTAGTTCACTGGGCCCAACTCTATCTGAGGTTTCCTTTACAAAGACGGTTACGTGATAAAATATCGAGTGCACTTCTTTGCCAGCGGTAACCTGACGCCATTTCAATTCTTCATGCTGATGATCATTTCTGGCCACTTTTTTCTAATTTTACCTAATAGCCGTTCTACCATTTTTGATCCACAGCGATTCATTCACATGGTATTTTCACTTATCGGTAAACACTACTTAATTTCTATTACAAGGAGAAGTCGACACCTGCGTTTCCATGACCCATTCATCTTGTCGAAATGCTATTCTGCAGGTCAGCCAATCGTCTCCCGGAAATCCAGTTCGCTACATAGCAAAAGATCTGCTGCAGTCAGGGAAGGGACAATACAAAGACGCTTACATCTGAGTTGGGCAGTTTGATTTCAGACGTGTTGGCACAACTACCAACCCACCGCTACGCACCACCACGCTCCCCAATAACGCACTGATGATGTCACCTCGATTGGTGATGAAACGCTTGCAGTCAAATTGCCCAGCTCAGCGAACAAGCCAACGACCATCTACGCTACCAGAGCTACCGACATTCTCCTCTATAGAACACAATTACATGTCTATCAACATCAATCTGCCATGAGCCGCTTTTCAGAACCACTTAACAGCCAACTGTTTTCGAAGTCCCGAAGGCTCATGGTGGTCGTTCCGTCGCTCATTTTATTCACTGGTTTAGTTGCAGGTAAAGTGATCGGCTCAACTGATCGATGCTCTTCTCAAAGGCTATCTAAACCTATTCCGATTCAACTGATACCAGTCCTGTACTTAACGTTTGTGATTAATCAAAGCAAATTTTAATACCAACATACCTCAATTTTCAATGTCCACTGGTTGTTTTGTCGGGCCATGATTATCCAGTGTCTTGGTCTCTCGATCTGTTGAGAAGTATTGCATAAGTTAGCCGTCATCTACCCTGCAGGTTCCACTCCTGAGAGTTAGGCATCCTTACGTGTAGCGCTGGGTATTCTCGTTGCACTCCTGACTACTTTACCGTCCCATCAAATGATGCGAGCAGAAGAGCGATGGGGACTGGTGAACCTGTGGTATAAGACTAAAAGTTCCTCGAGAAACACACTCATTTGCAAATCAATTTAGTTTTTACGGGAGACTCAATTCAATCTTTCGTTTATGATGTCCTCCAACTGAATGTGCTGCACACAGGCCACCTCATGAGTGTATTTCTCGAAAACAGTCCAATTTGGGTTCAAGTAAGTCATAAGGTTGACGGAAACTCGGGGACTGCGCCTACCTGATGAGCCCCAAGAAGAACGAGACCGGACGTGGGCTGTCGAAGAGTTTTCAGCAACCTTGTGAGTAGTTTCCTTTATAAACTGGACCGAAGCTGAGTGCGCAGGGTATTCATACCTCACTATTACGAGTAAATCAGTGCCCCTACTTGAAGTCATCCAAAGTCGGAAATGAAACTGGGCTTCTCATATGGCTCAAGTTCAAAAGCTGACCCTAAACACAGTCCTCGTTTAATACAGAGCTTGCCCCCGTGAAAGGCTTTGCTTACCGCTGGGGCAGTAAGTTTGGGTGCATCCTGAATGGCTCTAAGACCACAAAGACCTATGCACATATTTGCATAAAGCACCTATATACATAACTCAAACAACGGGTCGAAGCAAGCTCATGTGTCCGTCAGTGATCATAACAAATCTTTGGTTTTAATAACGGAGGATGATTGACTCAAAACCACACCTACAGTATAATTGTCATCACACTTATTGGTTCCCGTTTGCGCGACAAAATTTTGGAATCGAACTTGATTCAAACTCTGTTCCAACTCAGACAAACAGGTCTTTTGCTTTTCAAAATTCTTTATATACTAAACTGGGTATTCAGAGTGTTACTTATAGAGGGGGGTGGTTAACTAGCTAAAGTGTGTTGTGTGATCGTTGGTTTGTTCGCTGAGCTAGACAGTTTGATAGCTGGCGTTTCATCGCCAGTCGAGTTGACCCCACCAGTGCGTTGTTAGGGTAGGTAGCGTTGGTTTGGTGGCTGTGTAGTGTCGTGTGTGTGTGTGTGTGTGTGTGTGTGTGTTAATACACGTGCTGCTAGACTGACCTTCGATCATGACTAACTGTTCCGACGGGCAGTTCCATTGGTTGCTCTGTTATTCTGTGTCCTGATTGATCGATGACCACGTGACCTTTTGGCTTGCCTCTCCCTGTCCCCGTACTGGTATGACCACTATCATTAGTCTGTCTATGTCCCGGCTTATGAACTTTGTTGTCGAAAGGAAGATTTTGCTGAACTCCGGAGATGTGCCTGCCTGTCAGCCTGACACCCCAAGAGAGCAGTCGGAGCGGTATTTCAGCAAAACACTCGAAAAGTTCAGTTTACATGTAGAGCTAAACAAGTATTCTATAAGCGTCGCAAGTAAATCACAACTCTTCTGGTGTTTGAAGACACTGACGCTAGGCTTGGTGTAACGTAGGCCGATTTCGTTTTGGTGTTTGAAACAGTACCTCACCAGCTGTCCAGCTGTTGGTCTCGAGGATTTGACAGAAAACTGTGATCATAAATTGCTAAATCCCTGTTGCACTGAATGACTAATCCACAATCCTTTTGATTAGTTATCCGCATCCACATATGCACCTGCGTGCTTGGGCCTGGTTTCCTAGTCATCCACACGACCCAAATGCATATTTTTTTGATTGCCTGAAGGCATGTCACATTATTTCTTTGAGAAAAATCGTTTCGCTTAGTGTGTTTCAAACTGGTAATAGTTGGATATCAAAACCTTAATTCCGGTAAACATTGCCAAGTGTTTTCTTCACCCAAACGGCTGTTCCGCTTGGATCTTGTCACATCAGCGGAGAAAATCGCAAGCAAGTTCCAAAGTGTCTCTGGGTATCGCCTCGTCATTTACTAAAGCCTTCTTTCGATGCTCTCGGGAAATTTTTCTTAGCCTGGAGACGTTTTGGGTCTTGGTTTCTCGCGAGATTTAGGACGCATCTTTACTTTACGGTGTGATCAATCTTAAAATATAGTACCGCTACAGCATTTCCAATAAGAAAAAGGGAAACAGGTTGGAGAATTTACAGTTCCGTGGGTTGCAAGTCCGATCTGTGTTCTCGAAAACCAAACATTTTTCCCAGCTCACCATATTCGTATCAAGTGTTAACCTTGGACGGCGAATTCTGAGTTGTGAATCTGGAGCAAACCGATTTATTTCCCTTACTCACACATTCCAAAGAACAGTTAATGGGAGCGTATGAAAACTGCTCAAGCTACAAGAAAAGTGCCTTCCACTAGTGTGCAGCTCACCGGCCCATGTTAGCACTGATGCCCCTCCTGAGATAGGCTTCAAGAGACTGCTGATTTCAAGTACGAAATGCGGATATAGTGATTAAAATCGCTCTACTTACTTTCGGACACCACACTTGTTGGTGCCCAAGTTACTCGCTGCTTCGCGGATGGAAGCTCTTGGACTGGATTGTCCCTGTACTTGGTCACCTGCCCGTCTGCACACCGAGCAGCAAGCCTGTCCATGTTTGACAGGCATCTAATTCGGGTAATCCGGTTATCGGTGGCTGCAATGTTGAATATCGGCGCACTTTCTGACAACAACAGAGCAGGCTGTTGTACCACAAACATTGAGCCAGTAGGTATTGTAATATCAATGGACAGAAAACCAACACAGAGCATAATTTCGTAACCATTCACTTGAACACTTGTTTTTTTAAGCTGATCCTTTAGTGCGGGCCGATTGGCTTTTTAAAAGTGTGAATGACTAAGCGAGAGCGGGATACTAGATTACTGAAGGTTTCATCAGCCACCATAATTCTGCCCCAGAATGCAAAAATGGAAAGTAACCATACAGAATACGCGGTGCAAGGATATGTGAACTTGTACGTAACTCTCTTTCCCAGAAAACATTTCATCGAACCCGTTTTGAACTGCCACTCTATTTTTGCAATGGTGAACATCTGTGTACAGATGACCGTCCAATAAAGCCCGGGGCGGAGCGCAAACCCGCTTCACTTATATACTTATTTAGATCTCGTTTGACGTGGTCACATATGTTTACATCTGTCGCTCTAGTCCGGCTGGAAAGGCGCTAATGAGGGTAATACACAAGTCCGAAAAACCAAGCATTTGGAAGCAATCCACGGTACTTTCCTTTTGGTGGACCTGAATAACTTGATGACGTCTGCAGACGGTGGATGGACGGGTTGGTTCTCTGTTTACGACATTTTCCTTGAACTTGTGTTGCTGCAAACGCAAGTTAACCATGAGTTTGTCCCCTAGATGTACATACTTTTCCTAAGAGGTCTTCATTTAGGGTACCAGCATCGATTTAATTGAGCATACCATGAGTCACATGATTGGTATCACCTGCTTTCTGTCTACATTATTCTCTTTTATATACCGAAATTATCATTGCGCGCTTTGCAGGTAAGCCGTCCTGATATCGCTCCCTTCCTGCCAGCTCGTAGTCACTTTTTGGCTATATACAGCTTCGCCATAGCAGGTAGTTCCGCAAGTAGATCTTCGCTGTATTTTAATTTGAAGGATACCATAAGAACCAAGCCCACATCCCATAGGTGGTTCAGTAGCGTTGAACAGGTATTCTACCAAGCTGCCTGCTTGTGAGCCTCCTGATGACTGAAGGTATGAATATTCGGGCCCGTCAATAGATTCTTCCGGCAAAGGCGGCCACGTAAAACTGTATCTTAAGTAGCTGCTTTTAAATCTGATCGTATTTGGATCTACTAACAGGGGCCTGGTTATCCACCAGCTTTTGCCCTAGGACCCGACTAAATTCCAAAACATTTGTCTAGTTCTACTGCTTCAAGAAGTGGAAATTTTCGAGAAATACACTCATTTGCAAATCAATTTAGTTTTCACGAGAGACTAATGTGAATCGCTCTTCTATGCTATTCTACAATTGAATGTGCTGCACACAGTTGAGTCTCTCGTAAAAATCAAATTGATTTTCAAATGAGTGTATCTCTTGAAAACACTCCGATTTGGGTTCAAGTAAAACATAAGGTTAATGGAAACTCGGGGACTGCGCCTATATGATGAGCCCTTAGAAGGGCGAAACCGGTCGTGGACTGTTGAAGAGTTTTCAGCAACCTTGTGAGTAGTTTCCTTCATGTAGGTAGAAATTTTCTCTAGCAGACGCTATGGTATCCCGTATTAGAGCTAGCCCATCGGGCGCATTTGCCACGCAGTAGTAGCAATCGCGTTTAAATGGTGTTTCTCACTTCTTGAATGAGTTAACTTTGTAAGATATATCCGGCTGTCTTTTGTATTAAAGGTTCCATTGCTGCACAAAGTGTGGCCAGATCTCCGTTGTTTTCATGTACTGATCCTTTGCTACCAACACGCAGCATATTTCATACCCCGGCCAACCCGCGCATTAAAATAATCAGACGCGAAAAGTTCATTGCAAGTATAATCAAGTGCACGGACCAAGCGCAATGTTTTCCCATCTCCCCATATGCATGACACATAATGTCACTGATAAAAGTTGCAAAGCTTACTTTTGACAACTGTAATCAGGTAGTTATCACTTCCGCGTTGATTTGGTTGGGTTTGTACGTCACCCTGTGATTCGAGTTAGTCGCTAGCATGAATCCAAAACCATCCTTACATCAGCTTCCTTGAATGATTCCACTATAACCAGAGGTACAACCAGAACCCGTTTCCAGTAGCATCCATTAGTCAACCAGCCAGGTTTTACGGACTACAGTGAGGTTAACCTCTAACAGTTCAGTCCTCAGAATAAGACCAATTCTCTCTCCATCATTATCAAAACCATTTCTCATGCCGCAGTGTTCAATGGGTCGAAGACATACTTTCTATTTTGGTAGGCAACCTCATCAGTTGCTCATGTATCTCTGAGACTTCGAAATACTTGATGCGCCATCATTTATCAGTGAGCTGAAATTGCACTGACTTCAATATCTCAATGAACATCGCTTGACCATCCGAGCTTGTAATGAGGGACATTTTCTTTCATAGGTCTCTTTGTCGCTCCAAAATACTAAGTAGCGCTAACATACTACTCACAAGATTGCTGGAAATTCTTTGACAGCCCACGACCGGTGCAGCACATTCAGTTTCCTGGAAACATCCCAAACGAGAGATTCAGCTGGGTTCCAGGCGAGTCTCTACAATACCAGTCCTGTTTCAAATGAGTGTAGTTCGCTAATTAGATAGCGCTGTTGGTTTAATAATCAAGCTTTATTCGCTTTCAGGAGGACACTGTACACGCATTCGCAGGTGATTGCAAACATCTCTTCAAAAACATTTCACCCAAATACTTCAAACCGCACACAATTTCCTATTAAATTACTTTATAAATATGGATTCTACTAAACAATGGAGCTTGCCCAGGTAGGTCAACACGATTTGCATCACAGATAAGAAGATCAGTGGTTATATGTTATTCTGTGGCATAACGTCAGATGTTCTTCACTTAGTCGACATGGCTCTAAATCTTATAGTAATATGAGATGGGGCGTTCTACTAAGGCACCAAAGCACACATTTCCCAACTATTTGCCCAGTAATTTGAAAAAAATAGAAATAACACAAGATGATCGGGACAAACAAGGCCATCACAAATTAAACATTTGAGTCACAATGGAAACGTTCAACTTACTTTTCTATGAGCATTAGTAGTAAGCAGTTCTTGGGAGTTTGCCAGCAAGCGAGGTACTAATTCCGGCTGATCTCGGGTAAAATGGCTAATCGAATGCCGCCGTACAACTGAAAAACTAAGACGTTCCCCTTTAGTGCATTATTATTAACGTGAAATAAATGACTTTTTTCTTGGTCCTGAGCGATGCGTTAAATTTTGCAAAGTTTTCCACTACATTCTGGAGAAAAACACTGCAGCACATGACGCGATTAAATTTTACAACATAAAATTCGTTTTCTGAAGTGAGCTATTTAGGTGTCATCATTTTGTTCTGATAGGGTGTGGAAAATATGGACGCTACTTGCAACATTGAAACCATGCATATACACCCAATGCCCACCCGCTAGTAGCTGTAGCCAGGTGGAGTAAATTTTGAAAAATCACAAAAAGTACAAATTACAAATTCCCGTACATGGACAGACTGACAGCTTGCTTGTGCTATGCCATTATTCCAAACTGATTAAAGGTTACTCAACTTGCAAAAATATTGCCATGTTCGCCCGTGCTTCATATGTTCAAGCAAAACGATTCAGTTTGTATCCAATTAACTGGTACCCACCTACGTCATGCCAAATACGCAAGCCACACTCAATTTTAGCTCCCCGTGCGTTCTGTTATTTGTACTTTCAGTCAAGGTCAGTTGTCGAGATTTTCGAGTGGTGGCTTAACGTAGTGGATTAACGTAGGTTGTCGAGAGACTTTAGAAGGTCGTAAAGAAAACGCAGAGAATTTGGCTGCAAAGTTTACGGTTCCATCAAACTAAAGGAGTGTTCCAGTAAAGAATACATTTTGAAATCTAACTAATTTTTTCTTATGGCAATCAAATGCGATCATCATACTATGCTCCATCAATTTTTTGTTCACCAGTATTAGCAGTGTTCATAGCGCTTACGGGAAAAAATATCATGAGATCTGGATACTGCGTGGAACTTCGCCACGTTCGACATTCAGTGTTTGTTGACATATTTAT